TCTACAAACACGCGTTAGCTGTTGCGTTTTTAGCGTGTGTTGTTATCGTCGATGGGGAATCAATTCCCGCGCGTACGCAGGTGACGACCCTCCCGCTTTAAGCAGAAAAGAGCAAAGATAAAATGAGCAGCGAATTGCTCCACAAAGTCTATGGAACGTCCGGACTGAGTTGCTGTGGTAGGAAGACGACATAGTGCGTACCACATTTTGTTTTAATGAAGCGCGGTAGCAATGACGGAAGACCAAGACACTGTTTAGCACTCCTATTTTTTTTCATTTGCTGATTTCTATTCAGAAAAAATCGACCGCTCGAAAATGCACCTTAATTTTGCATGTCAGATTTCCAACACTAATTATTTAAAACCGGTCGAAATTTTAAAACTTTTACGTTAGGAGCTGGAGCTCTCTGCGACTGTCTTAGAAAATCCCTGAATAAGGCGTTACCAAAATCGGAAAAAATAAAAAAATGCCTCCTTAAAAAACGAACAGAATTCAAATATTTCTTTTAACAAATATGTTGCAGTGGGAAAAATGGGATTGGAAACGCCGAACAAAACTTCTGTGCCTCGCGTTTCGATTCTAGGATTACGCGATTATTCATTATTGTGCGTTCGCTTCCTAGAGTTGGTTCTAAATACTACATAAAAATCATCGAGGATAAATAATTTAATATCCCACTTTGTACTCTTCACGGTAAACCATAGGCTCTGAGATTTTTTATTGAAATACATCGAAGAGAAGCCATGATGTTTTGATCGTGATAAAAGGTCACCTTCCTAGGACCGCCCCCCTGTTTAATAATTCATGAGAAGACGTCATGTTTACTGGGCATTGACACGTGTTTTTACCGACCCTATCAAAACACTGGTATGAATGACGTGTTTCTGATTTATATATTCAAGAGCAGTTGTTCTGGTCCAACGATTTTACATAAAATGTCTATGTCTATACGTTAACTTTCAATTTCAATAGTCTAGAAAGTATGACAAAGTATGACAAAGCAGTAATTCCCGGTTTAACGTACAAATATGCAAATTAGCCTTTTTCTCGTCTTCTATTTTTGGTGAATTCTTGGGTTTTAAATTAAAATAGCTGATAGACGCTTTGGCCATTTGCCTCGAAATTTTCACACATTATTGACAAGGTGTTCCCCTTTCAAAATGCGTCCGGATACTGGCAGTTTATTACGGCGAGTGGAACAAAAATAACAAGTCCGCAATTAACATGGATATATATAAATTATGCAAAAATAGAAAAGAGTGAACTTTGAGGTCATGCTGTGCGACTTTGAAAGCCGTTAGAGAGATGAGTGGACGCATTTGAATTAGTAGTATACCAAGGTATCCAGTGATGTAATTTTACCTACAAACGGACTTGAAGTTTTTAAGCTAATTTTTTTTAAACCACTTTTGTCCAAAAAAGCATATTTTTGACCCAAAATCAAAAACGCATTCTGGATATTTAAAATAAAGACAAGTTTTACAAAGTCTGTATAATAAACTTTCAGAAAATATATAACATGTTGGACATATAATACCATCTTCATTGTCTAATTACTCAATTAAAAAGCAAGCCAAATAAACTGCATCTCTACCTTAAAATCGCACTAAAACAGAAGTTGCATTTCACGCCCCAAATATCGCTGTCAAAATGGAAAGATGATGCGGGATAGCAATAACGGAAGATCTTTTTAAAATCGCACTCACTAAAAGAACAGTTGCATTTCACGTCGCGAATACCGATGCCCAAAATGGAAGGTTTGCTACGTGCACTCGAAGAAGTGCTGAAAGAAATGTTAAATTACAAGAATTACAAGAACTATATATCTTTACAGGAATAGCGTACAACACTTCTGATTAACATATGCAATCGGTCACAGTAGCTAGCTAACGGTAAGTTAAGGGTCATTCCAGACACCCATCAAAGGCAGTACTAGTACTAATGGTGTAATTGATTTCCATTGCATGTCACCGGGGGAAGGTCTTCCATGCTACATACAACCCCGGAGCAACCATTATATGATGATCAATAAGAAATCATTTCACACGAGTGTGTAGTTGGGCTGCTGTGGTCAATAGAGGGCATAACTCAGATTTTTTGGAACCATGTACGTACATTACATCCATGGGGAGGGCAACACGAATTCGTAACGGTGTTACACCTGATACTGCACGGGTGGATCAGGACTAAATTTGTTTTTATTTCAAAGAAACAGGACGGATGAATTAAACTGTGGCTCGCCCTTGGCAGTTAGGCAAAGATATGTAAAACCATTTGAGATCTGATGGCGATTACATATACACGAGAAAGACCAATTTAAAAGAAGAAAAAAAACAGGAGACGAGAAGTATAAGTGGCACACTCTGACAACAGGGAATACTTTGATTT